CTGTGTATCACCCCAAGCAAGCTTTTGTAATGCCAGAACTTGGGTTAGGCCCTAGTTTTTCTCTCAGTTCCCACTTTCAAACAATTCTTCCACATTATCCACCCTGTGACTGTAGTCACTCAAGCTTCACATCAAGTCGTTTAGGTGTTAATATTACCTGGCCTAAACATGATGCAATTAAGTGAGTGCACATTGGTACATTAGAAGGGGGGAGTTACAAAAAGGCTGGGAGTCTAGTTCTACAAGAACATATATATATATATATACACAGAAATTATTGCAGTTACAATGGTTAGTAATAATTGTAACAAACTTTGTATCCACCCCGTGACTCCAGTTACCGTTGTATATTGAAATTTAGTCTCAAATTAGAGTCTTAGTACTCGGGACATCGATTGGGTCATCCACTTGTAAAGGGATATAAGCGGTGAACTGAATCATCTTTACATTAATAGCTTTCATTTTAGTTGGTTTTACACAGGATATTGCTATACTTAGGATAATTATCATCACAGTGAACATTACCACATATTCTATTAAGCTTTGGACACCAACCAGTGACACCAAATCCAAACCAACTAAACATTTTAGCTAGCCAACTAGTGTTCATTGATTCCTGGAGTTCATGGGTGTCTTTCGCCACCTGTCGCATCTTCTCTAGTTAGATGTTGAGGTCCTGTGCAACATTAGGGATATAAATGTAGCAGTCAGTACTGGAGAGGTTCGGTTAGTCACAAAATCCATTTCGGTGTAACAGTATCAAGTCCAGTGTCATGCGGTTCTGAAGTGCTTCTTTTTTTTCTACTTGATAGGCTGGCTTACTTAACCATAATCACATTTGCACGATAGCATGACCAAATCCAAAAAGGTCCTTCCATCTAAGATGGATCCTGGGAAGAGCCTCAAAGCTAAACTTTGGTTTCTTCATTCTTATATTCCACAGAGCCCTTTTTCCTAAAATCCAAACCTTGTTCTTTTCTCTTTGATCCCAACATGTCTCTCCCCCACATCTTTTAACATGCACATACCTTCTCCAGCATTCTGTAACACACTAACCATACCTGTGCTAAATATTTAGCCCTCATTTATTATTTGCTGCGTGCAAACTGGAGTTCCCAGGACCCCAGTAATGATGGGAAGACTCTGGTTTCTTCTCAGTCCTGCCATTAAGTTGCTACCTGCATTTAAATATACAGCTGAGTCCTGTCTGTGCAGGCCAACCTCCATCCCTTGGTTTTCCCTCTCGTCCTGGGCCTCGGGCGGGGTTTGACCACCCAGGCAATTCCCAGCCTCTTCAGCCTGTCCACCAGGTTCATCTTCAGCTGGCCCACGTCTGGAGTGTTGCAGGAAGGCTTCAGGCCATACATTTCTTACAAGAAAGTCTCCACTGGTCGGGAGGCCAGAAAGTTTTCTGCCTCGTTCCTGCAGAAGTTTGGCCAGGCTGCTGGTGCTGCTGAAGGTGGTGGTTGAATCTCTTCTGTTAGTGAGAAATTCTCCAATACGGAGTCGGTAGGACGTGGCTGGGGTGCTCACCACTGCACTGTCAATGCTGCTAGCGCTACTTTCAAGGGAAAA